AGCCCTTCATTCTGGGGCAATAATATCTGATGACGACTGTTCAGGTGTACAACTGCACTAGTGCTGTATGCGAAATCGACAAGCACCAGCTAGCACAACTCTATCAGCAATCGAATTCGGCTGAGGCTGTCGTCCGTATGACCTATGCTTTTGCAGCTGTAGGGCAGAAAATCGCCAGTGATGCTACTAAGGAACGTACCTGGTTAGTTGACAGGGCTGAGAGTCGTTTAGTAGAAGCTTGTCTTCAATGTTTAAATAAAAATATTGACAGTGCCCACCCAACTCCTGAATGCACTGAGTTGATTATGCGGGAATTCCTGGCGCTCGACTACACATTCGGCATCAACGATCCCTCTGAACTGGCTGGTGAACGGCTCAGATTCTATAGAGGTGAGTTCGTTCCCTCTTCGTAGACGTTTTGAGCGCTGCTTTTGCGAGATGGAGCATTTTTTTGGAGAGCAGTGTTCCAAGACCTTCGAAACCACGGCCCCTCCAAAGGGCTTGGTGATAAACCCACGAGATCCTTTCCCTAGGTCCAAGTGGGACTTCACCCCCAGATCACAGTCGCCCCACTTGCACAACATTTCACTCTTGAATAGCCTTTCGTGCTCGAAGAGCGCCATGTTTCCTTGCTCCTTGGAGCCAAAAATCTCGAACTGCTCGGAAAGATAACATAGCGGAAGGAAAATCATGCCTTCTTTGGCTTCAACCTTGACATCCACATTCTGTAATAGCTTTGGGGCAACATTTACAGCTTGGGCGGGGCCGAGCCTACGGTTATGCCTTCTCATGGCTACGCCTCTGGCTTCCACTGTTCACAGAAAAGGAACTTACTGATGAGTAACACGCAATTGTAAACAAAGTCCGCCCTGCGACAAGCGCAGAATATGCCTCTAAAAGATGGTGCACGTCCAGCAGCCGTGTAGGAATTGGTATGCAGTTAAGAATAAGCACGCCATCGCTCTCAAGCCAGCATTCGTAGCTAGTTGGCGTCAATTTGAGTGCTTCATGGCAGCCTATCTTGGGAAAAGACCTTCAAGTTAACGGAGTAGGATCAGGGTAGAGGGTCAGGCCGGATCCGTACTGCAGCACCGACCTGACCCTTTCACACATCGCAACAGTATCGTTGGTGTGAAACATGTGGGGGGGGGCGTACTTGGCTGCTGAGGAGGAGCGTATTGGTCGTTTCTGGGAGAGGGGGAATGGGTTGTATATGCATTCGAGAGACCCTCCCCCCATAGTTGGTGGCGCCGCCAAAGTTCTGTACAACTACTCTTTCTGATACTGAGAATTGTATGTAGCTGGTTCCCGACGACTCCTCCCCCCCCCCCCCTCCCCGCTGCGACGGAAAATTTTTGTGGAGAAAGCAGCGAGTTTTAGAGAAATTTTGGAAAAAACTGGTAGGAAGATGAGAATATTGTACTAAAGTGGTAGTAGATGTTGGGTGTACCGTAAACCAGAAATCAGGCTGGTAGTACTGACACCACCATTTCAGGGGAGTCATTTGTAGCCTTGCTACGGTAGCAATTGGATTGATTTGAGACAAAAGTAATTTGTCGAGTAAATTAGCTAGTAGTACTAGCTGATTTTTGCGAGACATCTTGCCTGTATGTCTGCACGCTGCAGTTCCGCTCTTCGCAGTATTGCTCTGGAACATACTGCCAGTAACTTCTATCAAAAGGCCCAAAGTAACTTTTAGAGGTGGAAGGAAGTAACAGACAATGTAGCGACTCATCAGTGTTCAAAGTACATTCCACGTTGGTCGGGTGGGCGGAGTCAACTGGGCCTTTACGCCTTAATCGTTAGCCATTTATCCATGAGGACGATGTTCCAACGATAAAAAGAGAATAAGGAGCTCACCATTGAGAAGCTGTGGCGCAGCGCTTCAAATGACCCCGCCCACACTGTGAGCGTAGACTGTGCCTCCAACCAGCGGCAGTCTGAAGAATATACCGTATAGTGTTGATTTTCTGTACACTTTATGCAGAAACAAAAATCTGGGTTCTCGTCTAGGCCGCGAACACGTTCTTCTCGCCTCTGGAATGACCGTAAAAGCAATTGAACTGTTTAACGACGACGATGGAAAGACCAACGTCTACAACCTGATGTCGTATACTACCGGCAAACAACCTACAGTAACTTTGTCATCAATTCGGCCCTCTGATCAAAGAAAACGATCAATATGCAGTCCATATCGGCCGTTCTGTGGTCAGTGTCCGAATGTGCAACTGGTTAATGGAGAGGTTTGTTCCATGACCCTTGGCCAAAAAAGACCTCACAATCACATTTCTGCAATTTTCAGAGGCATTTCCTCTCGATTCCCCGTCACTATCCAATGTACCTGATTGGTTTGTTTGATCTACATGGGGGTGCTGCTTGTCAGTCTATGAAAGCGACAGACATCAGTCTGCCAATGGCATTCATTCATACGGTAAGGGTTCATTACTACCAAATTATTGTGCCAAATTACTTTCGAGGGCTGCGTTCATACTTTGCGGCAGCGTCCACTAGCGTCTACCAGCGTCCACCAGCGACCACTAGCGTTCCGAAAGTTCGATAGCGTGAGCAACTAGGAAAGTATAGATATCGATCTAGCGTCTGCCAGCGTCTACCAGCGTCCACCAGCGTTCACCAGCGACCGGAGTAGAGAGTATGGGGAAGTAGGAGGGTAGCAAACAGCTGGATTAGGCGTCATGCAATAGCAACGTGTACAACCGCACCGTGATACTGCACTACACTGCACAACAAGATTACAATAACTCTGTGCTTTAGCAGTTGTGCGGTGCGGTTGCACACGCCGCAACTTCACGACGCCTAATCCAGCTGTTTGCTGCCCTCCTACTTCCCCATACACTCTACTCCCAGTCGCTGGTGAACGCTGGTGGACGCTGGTAGACGCTGGCAGACGCTAGATCGATACCTATACTTCCCTAGCCCTCGAGACGCTGCTGGTCGCTGGTAGACGCTGGCAGACGCTGGTAGACGCTGGCAGACGCTAGATCGATATCTACACTTTCCTAGTCGCCGACGCCGCTCGGAACGCTAGTGTCGCTGGTGGACGCTGCCGCAAAGTATGATCGCAGCCTGTCCCACGCTAAATCTGCTCTTTTCAGGTGTGGACATTCAAACAACGCTTCCCCGATCTGTTTCTTCTGAAGAATCTCGACTTTGGTGCATTACTTGTGGATTCGTGCTCGTCCGGGAAGCAAGCCATTGAGACCGTTGTCCGGGCGGAAACGCAATGCTTCCGTTTCAACCAAGCTGGACGAAATATCACAATCGTTCCCGGATCGGTCTTTGGCTATATGTCCGCGTTACATGGCGATTCTCAGGAAGCACTGAAAGGCTACTTTTCATCCGGAGATGCTGCCGTCGCATTGGTGGCCGCTGACTCGGACTCAACACCTCGCCACGCTTTCACGGCCCTGCCAGGAGCACGGAGTCAAGCGATAGCACTACTCAGATTCCTTAATCGAATGCACTGGCAGTTTGTGACAGTAGCACTCAGTGAACAGGTATGTGCCCAGAGGCTATCGACACATTTGTTATGATTCTGAGCCCTTCTTTCCAGGACCCTGAATCTCTGTCAGCTTTCCGTCACTTCGAGCGCTTAGCGCTGGATCGTGGTGTGTGTCTGGCTGAAGTGGTGAATATTGGCGGAGTCCGCGTTGAAAACCTGCCCATTGGCACCTCCACCAACGTCACCATTGTGAGTCCACTTTACAGCAAGTGTGCTTCCCGAAATCAGAAAATTCCTATGCAGGTATTCGCAACTGCTCGAGACGCCTCTGCCTATCTGTCGTTGACGCTTCGTTCCCCTCGAAGAGTTGTCCATGTGATGATGGGTGATGCTCACGATTGGTACCTGCACGAACCTCAGATCCGAAAGCACTTCCAAGGAATCGTCTCTGTTCAACCCTAAGGTACGCTAGACAAACTGATGGACTCAAGGCTATAAAGTAGTTAACTTATCCACTAACCGAACTTAAAGGCACACTGTACATTTACCTTGGAGATAAATACTTCCCGTAATACCTTATCCACCGCAGTAGAGATGTAGCAAATCCTCAACTTCTGTAGCGCTCTAGTGTGATTGTAGTCAAGCGCCATGCAGCTCTGAGAAGGCGTGTGGTCGCTCGTATGGCGTGTGGCGTGAGTGTGGCGTGCGTACTGCGTGCAAACACAGGCGGAGACGTAAGCAACATCCAGCTATTTAGAGACTTCAGTCTCACTGCCACTCACCTACAAGGACAAACTGATGGACTAAAAGCTGCTAGACAGTTGACCTGTTCACATGCGAACTGAAAGGTACACAATGCGATCACTTGAAGAGATAGATGTCCCGTGATTCCAAATGCTCGCGTAAAAATGCTCTTTAGCGTTCCTCATTCGGCAGTGCTTTCAATTGTTGTGATTGTAGGTAGGCGCCATACGCTTTTTGGTAGTGCCGTATGGGCGTATGGCGTGGGCTGCTGTGATTGCATCGGCGTCAAATTACGAGCGGGAAACGATAAGCAATTATCGATCATTACGGGACATTAGCCTCCACTACACGCACCTTTGAATGATGGGTGCGCTGCAAGGACAAACTGATGATCTATAGGCTGTTAGCCAGTTGACCACATATCGAAATTAGAGGCACACTGCCCAATTACTTGGAGCTATATGTTTCCCGTAATCCTAGATGTCCACAGTGGAAGTGTAACAGTCCAGCATTCGTGCTGCAGTAGTCGACCGTAGTCACGCGCTATAGTAGGGCGTATGGTTGGTTGTATGGCGTATGGCGTGGCTGTTGATTGCATACTGGGTCAAATTACGAGCGGAAACGACAGCAACATCGATCTTTACGGGACATTAGCTTCACTACCACGCACCTTTGAATGATGGGTGCGCTGCAAGGACAAACTGATGATCTATAGGCTGTTAGCCAGTTGACCACATATCGAAATTAGAGGCACACTGCCAATTACTTTGGAGCTATATGTTTCCCGTAATCCTAGATGTCCACAGTGCGAAAGTGTAGCAGCTCCAGCCATATTTCGTGTAATGCTGCCAGTAGTATACCGTAGTCACGCCAGCTATGGTAGGCGTGATGGTTGATATCGATATACGGCGTATGGCGTTCGGCTGTTGATTGCATACTGGGTCAAATTACGAGCGGAAACGACAGCAACATCGATCTTTACGGGACATTAGCTTCACTACCACGCACCTTTGAATGATGAGTGCGCTGCAAGGACAAATTGATGAACTAAACGCTGTTAATCAATTGACCACATATCGAAATTAGAGGCACACTGCACAACTACTTGGAGCTATATGTTTCCCGTAATCCTAGATGTCCACAGTGGAAGTGTAACAGTCCAGCATTCGTGCTGCAGTAGTCGACCGTAGCCACGCCGGCTTAGTTTGGGCGTAATGAGTGGCGTGTATATGAGCGTATGGCGCATGTTGCGCGGCCGGACGCGCAATCGTTACGCATCATAAATCGCGGGAGTTAAAGACTGCGAGCCGAAGACTAACTTGCTTGGGTCAGATTAGTGTGGATAGCCTCAGAAATCTGTAATAAATACGTCTGAATCAGTACGTACTTCTTTAGGACATCCTTCATCATGACTTCCGTGAATGGATGGAGACAACGACGCCACTGACATTGCCGGAGAATTGGTACTGGTCGTACATTGAGGATCGCTGGCAATGTGCCCTAACCCAAAAGAGTAAGCTCACCTACGGAAAGATGTGTTCCGGCGATGAACTGCTGAATGTCAGCACCTTGGGTAAGATACTTATTCGTTCTTACCTTGCTCATCAATGCTCAACGCTTCTTTTTAGGACGAATGACTAAAGCTGGATATTTGTCACGAGGAATCGAACGATTCCTCTTTGCAATGGATTCAGTCTATAGGGTACGTTACTCGAAAGTAATTTCGGGCCACTACTGCTAGAATCAGCGAAGAGCCGAACCTGATGATCAAAGGCGCCATTGGAAAATAGATTTTAAAAACGAGGGGTATGTGACAAGAGGATCGTAATTTGCCGCGCTGCTGGGCGTCGCGTGCGACGTCCCGCCCGCAAAGGACGATGGTTTCAGGCAGTAGATGGCGACAACATGCAATTAAGGACCGAAAACAGTAATGAGTGTCTACGATGACGGGGTCTACATGAAGTCCGGTGCTTCATTCGACAGGTTAAAACGAGTTATGAAAACGCCGCGCCCATCGCCGCGCGTGGCGGTGCGGCGAATTACGATCCTCTTTACCGTCTCCCTAAAAAGAGAGGGGTCGAAACGGTTTGCCTCTCGCAGAAGGGAGGGGGGGGGGCATGACGGGCAGGAAAGTCCAGTAGTTCTCCGGACATTGCCTCCTTTTGAGGTACATTCCATGGCTGGTTGAGCCACGCAATTCCTTACCATTCGACAGATCAGTCAAAGGATATTCTACTTTTGACGCGCAAAGTGCGGCTCAGGATTGCCATTGGCCGAAGGTACCTGACAAGGACCTAGGTGCTTGTGCGCCATCGCTTTTCAGCCTTCCTCAGGGCAGGAGATGCCAGGTGTTAGTGCCACACACCCAAGAGCCGTATTGCACATCGGTGTACATTCTTGACTTTTGTCGTCCAGTCCCTCATCTAACGATAAGCGCTCCGAGTCAAAGGCAATAGGAGCGCTTCAGTCGGCTTTTTTTGCTAGTTTCTAGACTGAAAAGCGGCATAGTATTCATGTATTTATAGCTGAGCCCGATAACCCAGGTATTGCTATCATGGAATGCGCCTTTATAGTGCTGAACAAGGAAGGATAAGATTGTCGAATTTCAACAAGACCTGGCCGCATTCACCACTCCTTACTCCTTACCCTGAGAATTGATAGGGCGCGGCTCCTCTCTTCGTTTGAACATGCCGTAGTATACGTTTCTTTCCCGTTGAGAGAGCTATCATACCTTCGATAAAAACATGATTAGAATTATCCCTTATGATGGCGCCAAGTATCCCACAAAAATGGCACTTATA